GGCTCACATATTTGTGAACAGAAGAATTACCACTTGTTTTCAGATTAAATGAAATGATTCATGCAGAGCATTTCCTTGGCAGCTCCATAGCTCTTTAGGAGACTTCTGTGGAAGCTAAGAGGTAAGAGTCAGGAAGTAGTCCAGGCAAGAGATGGTTATATTTGAATTGATTCAGTAAAAAGAAGTGAAAAGAAAGGAGAGTGAGAAAGAGTCTTCAGATTTGGAAACTAATGAAGTCAGGAGTCAAAGGGGAGGGATTTGCAGGAACAAACTCTGCGTTGTCCAGACTATTTGGGTTGAGGAAGGAGAGGTAGTTGCGTGTCTCCCCCCATCAATACATGCTTGTCAGCAAGAGGAGGTGACAGTGTCTACCTAACACACAAACTGTGCCAAGGGATAGCAAATGCCATGCTCATTCCTTCCTCCCTAAAAACCAGAGTCCGATCTGCCCTGAGGTAGGCCCACATTCTGGTCATCCCTCAAGAATTCCATGGGTTCCCCACCTCCAGATGACTCTGCAGAGATTTGTGCCTTCTTTTCAGTGTCTGTACCCTTTGCCTGTCTCACATGACCTTGGACCTTTCATTCCTGCATGGTTGTGACTTATTTCCCCTGTCAGACTAGGGGATCCTCAAGGAAACATAAACTTAAAATTCTACACTGCATCTGGCAGACATCTACCAGTGTGGAATGAATGAATGAATGTTGTGCTTATGAGCCTTGACTTGGAGGAGGGCCAAGGGCACCCCTCTCCTCCCTGGGACAAAAGCTTGCCCTGGGCCTGCTCCCCAGATTTCTCCTCACCTCTTATTAGTACTGGAGACTTAGCATGTCAAAGCCATTTGACTTAAGCCTGGTTTAAATATTTACAGAACTAAATAAATTGATTAAAGGAAGTGCTGAGGACAGGAACAATGGTTATTAATAAATCATAACAATGATTATTTTCCTTTTGAGAAGTTCAGTCAGCCTGATAAGTAATATCCATGTGATTGATCACCTGGGGAGAACCCTGCACTGGTCTGGCCTCCTATGTGGAAACAAGAGCCTCCCTGGCAAACTGTGAGGCACGGGAGCTGGCTTCTCTTCTCCTCCTGGAAGGCCAGGGAAGCACGGGGTTTGGGTGCCACTGGCAGGACGCTCAGGGCTGCCCACATGTGCTGAAATAGAGAGTGCACAGCTGCTGACATGGAGCCCAGCTACATAACCTCACCTTGTTCCTTTGCCCCAGTTAACCGGCTCCCTGATGCCTTCTCTCTCCTTCCTGTAATTCTCAGGAGGGCTGGTGCCCAGGGTTTGGGAATCAGAGCATAGAACACCTCCTTCTGTTCTTTGTCTTGTCACATGAAGTCTCCTGCAGGCCAGTCATGTCATCGACCATGCAGTCATTCTTGCATAAGTTGCTGGGCTCCTGCTCTCTGCCAGGCTCAGTGTCCATGGTTCTATGTCCAGAAAGTTCAGCCTTCCTGGGACAAACAGAGAGTACTTCTGTCAACCTGACCCAGGGCTCGGGTGGAAGTCTCAGTGGCACTCAGGAGAGTCCTGCTGCACTGATGAGTCCTGGAGAGTTTGTTGAGTTTCTGCTGTGCACCTGCCCTGTGCAGGATGCTCTGGTGATATGAGAGGAAGAGCAGGTGCATTTCTGGTGGAATGTGCCAGCTTTGGGCCCTGTTATTTTAAAAAAAGATAGAACGAGGAAAGTGGCCCTAGAATGTTCCATGGTTCATTCCCCACTAAAGACTCCAGAGGGGCTGTTCAGACATCTGTGGAGGAACAGAAGGGTCTAAGTAGACCCTTCCAGTTCCCCAAGAAAAGGAAAAAGAATTCAAGAATAGACAGTAGAGGCCTGAGCCGACTCCACTCACCAGAAAATCCTCACTCACAGAGGGCACTGCTGCCTACCAGGTCTCAATTTAGAAATCTCATGCAATTAAAAAGATAAAGGCCCAAGCACTGGTGACTATCAATTCTTAACCCACTAAAAGAATTTGAGACATGAGAAAATTGAGACCCAGACAAGCAAACTCAGTTACTCTAGGGACATACCTGTCTTTCCCCCTCAATGTTCTGCCAGCTTGCACCAGAATACTGGGGTCATGATAACCCTCTTCTCCTCATGGGCATCATCTCCATGGCCCCTGGGCTTAAGAGTCCCCAGCTCTGAAAGGGGATCAGCAAGTGTCTGTTGGGTACAGCCTGCTTCTACTCCTTGCCGGAGAGAGACAGGATATAAGATCAGATGAGGGGGCAGCCCTGGGAGCAGAAAGGCCCCTCCTGAGGCCTGATGTTATTGGGTCTCACAATCCCTACCTGCCTCATCTGTGCTCCAGCCCAGCCTCACCCAGGCCGAGTGTTTCTTCCAATTCTGGGTCCTCCTTGGCAAGGATGCTGAGCTTGCAGGGCAGAGATGCTGGGCAAGATGCTATGATACTTGGAAATGAAAGGGCAGCCTTTCCAGGACTGTAAGAAGATTCATCTTTTCACCCAGCTTAAGGAAACAAATCCTTCATGGAGATGTCCACCTCACGATTTCCATTATCATAACCATCATCACTACAGTAACTAGTCACTGGGTCCCTCAGACATGCCAAGCACTCTGCCAGGTGGGCTGTCTCCCCTCCTCCAACTTGCCCTGCTGGGTGAGGGACTGTCATCATAAATGGGCCCAATTTGCTGATCTGCAGACCAAAACACAGAGTTCACAGAGCTGGCAGTGATCCAAACACAAGCCTTTGTCCAAAGCCTGTATTTCTTCAACTGGGCCCCTTTGTTCCTTTAATTAAATAATTAACAGAAAGAATGTGAATGCTCAGCAATGTTGGAATCTTTTGGTAACATATGGTGGGGCATCAGATTGCATACAGGGAGCATAAACAGCTATTAGGACTCAGGAGGGTGTGCATGATAATTCTGCCTCAAGAACATGGGGACCAGGCCCAGCAGCAAGGTTGGGAACAAAAATGCAGATCAGTCTGAAATGCAAGAACGTGTGAAGCTCAACCCTGGTCAGGGTACTGCTGGGCTTCAGAGGTGAGACTGAGTTCCTGGAAGGAGCAACCTCCACTGGACTCCTCTGGAGTCCCTCCCTTTAGTCTCTGGAAAAACCCTACTCCCCTAAAGGATTGCCAGTCCCCTTCAGTGTGCAAGGATACCCATGGAGCTGGCATAGCTACTTGGATACCAGAAACAAGAGGTGATCCTGATGCTGAACCCTTCCAGAGCCAAGGTTTATGGGATGGTCTCTTCATTTTGTTGTTGTTGTTCATGCAAATGTGCTAGATTCAAGATAGTATTCCCCGCTATAAGATTGCAGACGAAACTGGGAACCACCAGGCTATATGCTATAAGACAAGAGCTGGCTGTCATGTTATGTTTAATACCATTGAGATTCAGATCATTAAGGCTAACTCTAAGTATCCTGTGTTTAACTACCATGACTCATGTCCATCCCTTGGCCCCACAGTGATGAGGACCATACATACAGAATTGGATAAGATCCTATTTCCTGTTTGCCCACCCCTCAAGGCTGAAGTGGCAGAAAGGCAACCATATAGATGAGTCCCAGCCACAGGCTAGATATGTCCTGTAAAAGAGGGAATGTCTGCCTGGAAAAGATTCATGAGGAAGATTCCACAGTAGAGGTGTCATCTGAGTTGGATTTTGAAGGCTGAGTATGAGCTCACCATGCAGCCAAACCTAGGGATTTAATGGGGGAGGATGGCAGAAAAATCTAGGCTAGTGAGACAGGGTGGGCGGAAGGTAGGCCAGGCTTAGGGAACTGTGGTCACTAGTATAACAGGAGGAACTTATATACACATGCACATGTGTATACACACACACATACACACATGCACATGTGTATACACACACACACACACAAAAATCGTAGGCACAGTGCAAAAACTGTGGGTTGCAGGGACCATGTGTTCCTATCAGAAGTTAGGATCCGTGAACTACGAATTGCAGTTATGATTACATTTGGATTCAGAATTGTTCCTCCAAAGTCCAGCATGTCCTCTCCTAGTAAATACTGCAATAATATGCTTGATTCTGGCCAAGGAGAGAAACGTTTCCCCCAAAGACCAAGGAGAGAGGAGGGGAAGTATACAAACAGAGAGATGGGAATGGAGGAGACAAGAATCTGAATTCATCACTGCCATGGGCAGTACCAGCCCTGCAGAGTGCTGGTCAGCGATGTCAGCTGGGGAAAAGAGGGTTTGCAGGCACCCAGAAAGCTGCGACATAGTAGTTATTGCCCCCCTTGTTCTGTCAAGGAGCCACCATCAAAATCACAACAAATTGCTGAAAGAGAGGTCCCACCATCCAGGCCCTGCACAATGGTTCCAGGGAAGCAGCAGAGTGGCTTTGGAGAATCTGGGCAGTGGTGCTCAAGCCTGATGTCTCCAGAAGAGGGGGCTTCAAACAGACACTGGGGTAGGGTCTGGATGGAGCCAGTTCCCACTGCCCCTGAGTAACAGAAACCTGGCTAGAATGTAATCTCCAGGAGAAACCAGATTTTTATCTCTTTTTTAAATTTCACTACTTTATCCTCATAACTAGAACAGATCTTGGCACAGAGTCTGCACTTAATAAATAGTGACTGAATGAAAAGAAATGAGTCATGGAATGAATAGATGAGTGGACAGTTACATGTATACATTGATGGATGGATGCGTGGATACATGGATGGAGGTTTGGATGAAGAAACCTGGAGAAATGGAGAATCTAGATTTCCAGGAACAGAGCAGAAATGAATCAGGCAGGCAGACTATCCCACCTATCCCAGGTGGATAACCTTGGGTGGCTGCTGCTGCTGCTGAAGTCTTCCAGCCTATGTATGCCCTTGGAACCCAACAGGGAATTGGGCCTGCAATGCTCATATCCCACTGTCCTGGGCTTGCAAGCCTTGGTCCAAGATCAGCTGGGATACCAGAATGTGCTGAGTACTGGCCAGAGGCACACCAGTCTCTGTACTCACTATGTGTGTTCTTGACTTCCAGCCCGCTCCAAGAGCCTGGTGATGGGGGAGCAGAGCCGCAGCCCAGGGCGGCCACCAGGACCCTGCAGGTTGGGCCCTGTTCTGAAGGCAGGCTGGCTGAGGAAGCAGAGGAGCATCATGAAGAACTGGCAACAGCGCTGGTTTGTGTTGCGTGGGAATCAGCTTTTCTATTACAAAGACAAAGATGAGACCAAGCCCCAGGTGAGAAGTCATGTCCTATCTTCCATGGGTAGCACCCTGGGGCTCAGAGGGACAGTAAACTCTGCCCAGGAGAGGGAAAAGGCAGGGAACTTTTCAGGCTTCCAGCCCTCAGCACCCACGTTTTATTCTTACCCTCCGTGTTCCTGGCTTAATGAAATGCACCCACAGCTTTGATAATGAAAATGCTTCCACATGATGTTGACAGAGAGCATCCCTGTCCAGCTTAAGAAAATGTCTCTTCCTGTGTTCATCCCCTTAGTGCTTCCAAGGATGCACATGCATATATTTTGTTACTCCTACCGTCCAGGGAATGGGTACAGTCAACCTAGCTCCAAACTAGAACTTGGCTCACGTGAAGCCATGTGTCTGCTGTCTCTGTCTTATGTCAGCCATCTTTTTCTCACCAGCTCTGTAAGACCCACCTCAGGTGCTTAAAGTGTTGACTTTTCCACCCAAATTGTGATAAATTCACCCATTCAGAGCAATTAGTAGCTTCAGTACCACACATGGCCTTATCACAGGTGGACCTTGCAAACATTGTGATGAAATGCTCTGTCACCAAGGCATTGGCTTGCAGGATGCGGCATCTAATCTTTGTGGTAGGCACAGCTAGTTCTTTGTATCCATGGGATCTGCATCCATGGATGCAACCACTGTGGATCAAAAATATTCAGAAAAAAATTGCATATACAATGTTTTTGCCATCATTCTGAAAACAAGACTATATAACTATGTATATAGCATTACTCTGTACCATATTAAAAGTAATCAGAGAATGATTTAAACTATATGGGATGATGTGCTTAGGTTACATGATATTATTATCATTTTATATAAGATATTTTATCATCTGTGGACTTTAGTATTTAGTGGTAAGGGAGTGTGGACATCCTGGATCCAATTCCCTATAGATATCAAGGGATGGTTTCTGTAACTCTTGGGAAAAAATGGGGAAGAGATATTAAAGGACTTTGCCCAAATGATGCTCCTCATCAGGGATCCAAATCAGAAAAGGCCATCAGATCCCCTTGTTCAAAATCAGACGTCATGGAGCCTTGGTGGACAGGAGCCCTGTGTACATCTAAGCAGTTCCCATGGTCTATGGGTGTGGGCCAAGAGGGTTTTCTGTGATAGGCAAGGTGTGAGGAGATACCTGGGCACAGCGTGAGATAATGTCAAGTTCACAGTGAGAAATGACTCTTTCACATTTTTCACACTTCTTTCAATTTGGGGGTATGTCATAGATGAAGTGTCAGTTAGGTGTGAGCATATTTTTACCACTTCTCCAAGGCTTGATGCCCTTCTTTTAAAAGGAATATGGGGGCTGGGTTGAGAGGGAGCAGGCCTCATCTCACAATCTTCAGTGTCAGCAGGAATCAGCTGCAAGTTAATGACTTTCTTCCTTCACTGTATTTATTCTAATGGTTACCTTTGATTATGGGAAGAAATTCTAGTTTCTATTTATAGTGATCTCAAGTTTGCCTTTCCAAAACACATCTACATTAAAAACAGAAAGTGCTGCATAGCAAAGTGAATGAACTTAATGCCACCAAACTAAACTTAAAAATGGTTAGTTTAGGGTCTGAGGGTATAGCTCAAGAGAATAGCACTTGCCTTGCATACTCAAGGCCCTGGGTTATCCCCAGCACAACCAAGGGGGGAAAAAAGTTTAGCATGGTAAACTTTATGTGATTGCAGATTTTACCACAATAAGAATAAATTAAAAATGAAACTTCATAAGGAAAACCTTCATGTAAATAACACCACAAATGAAAAATGAGTAAGACAAAATTCATGAGAGTAAGCATAAACTAAAATTAGGAATAAAGTTAAGGGGATCTAAACAGGATTAAGAAACCCTGGTCTTGCCAGCCTCCTTGATTTTAAAAGAGAGGAAAAACAACACCCAGAGAAGTTTAGTGGGGCAGATAGGAACTCTGAAGTCAGATCAATCTAAATTAATTAGTTCTGAAGTAGATACAGCATGCTAGCTCGGGACAGTGGCTTTTTTTTTTTTTAACTTTTGGTTTTACTTGTAAATAAGACAACATTATATACAGACACTATTTGTAAATAAGACAACAGAGATGTGCTAGGAATTAAATTGCATAACATATACATAACCAAGGGAAAATTCCAGCACAATGGATAATTAAATCTGAGCTCACGTGCCCTCCGGTACCCCACTTCCCAGGCAGGGCACAGTGCCTCTGATTATACACCACCATGTCCTTCTAGCTGCGTTAGCCCTTCAATGGTGCCTTGGCTTTCCTGGATGACCTGGTGATGACTGGTCACTCCTCATAACTGATCAAAATTGCCAAGATCCCAATTTTTCAGAGCATGTGTGGGGCTCCTAGGGTCATCCCCTCCCACTGTCATCCACAGCACTGTCTCCTGGGAGCACTGCATTGTGATGTTGAGTTAATCAAGGTGCTGATGACCCTGAGGTCATCCAGGCCACACACGGAAGGAGACTCCATTGCCACAGGCTTCCCAACACATTCTTCATGGCCTGAGCCTGAGGTGGCCCAGCATGCCTTCCCCATCAGCTGGCTCCATCAGGCACTGCCATCTTCCAGAATTCTCCACCTGGACATTCTTCTTCCTCACTTTCCACCTTTTCCAAACCTTAATGGCTTCTGTTGAAAGCAGTTAATAAAATGGAGGCACCGATATCCCCAGTCACTGGCCTGGATGTAAAAGCAGCCAGCCCATGAGCCCAACCCAGGATGAATCAGGGCATTCACCTCCAGGGAGCATGTTATATCTGTGAAAGGAGTCAGCGTCTCCTAACGGATACCAGTGTTATCCCAGGGCTCTTGTGGCCTCTCTGGGTCTGGCTGGCACTCCCAGAGCTTCATGGGACCTTATAACTCCCTAACTTCCCCTCCCCATCAAAGCCTGATTCCTACAACTGTGCCCCACTGCACAGATTCCCAGTCTCGAGGCAACTATTGGTCACTTTTGACTCATTTAGCTTACACAGTATGATCTCAAACTGCTGGCACAATAAGCCCACAAATTTCTATTTAATTGCATGAACTTACATGTAATAGACTAATTCTCAGTATCTGGTTCCTGGAAAAAATATGCCCTGTTCACTGTTCCCACTGACAGCGAGCCTTAGCAGTCAGCACCTACTGTCAGACAGCCTGTACCAGCTGATGTAACTGCCAGGAAGAGGGATGTCCAGCCACCTTTGATGCTACCCAGAGCTCAAAAGTCATGATAAGCATCACTCTCAGCCCACATCCCAAGATCTGTCTTCAAACATTTATCTCTTCCCTTTTCTCAGGAGCCAGAGGGTCAGGGAGCATAGAGATGGAAAAGTAGATTACTTGAACTCAGATGGAAAGATTAGGCATAGGGACTTTGCAGCAGAGTCTGAAAGCATACTCTCATCCCTTAGCTTATTCTGGAACATGTCCCTAAGTATTCCCAGCAGATAGACCCTGCAGTTTCACAAATGAAGTATTCCAGGATTTTTCACCTTAGTGGATTCTGCTCAAAATATTTTCTTAAGCCATGGAAATTCCCACCATATACTTGGTTGATTGACCTGGTTCATTTTTACAGTCTGAGGACTCACTTTAGTTTTATCAATCTTCATTTGTGGGTTTCTTGGCTTTGAGTAGAAATGAATTGGAATAGAAATAGAAAGTAAAAATTCCAAAATATAAGACAGAGAAAAAAAAAGGGCTGGGGATGTGGCTCAAGTGGTAATGTACTCGCCTGGCATGTGCAGGGCGCTGGGTTCGATCCTCAGCACCACATAAAATAAAATAAAGATGTTGTGTCCACCGAAAACTGAAAAATAAAAAATATTTTTTAAAAAGAAAAAAATGAATTAAATGTGATCAAGGTTCACAGAGCTGGGCTTTTCATGAAACTGAGGAATAATAAATGCCCCCACTTCAAACCCCAATTTTTGCAAGCATGCCAGAAAAATTTCAGACATGTCACTCAGAGTAACCGGCTTAAGTTTATTGGAAAGTATGGAAAGACAGGAAAGGGGACACTATCAAGGAGACAGTGAGTCATCTCAGAGAGGAAAGAATTGGCATGCTTCTCCTGCCCTCCAGTTTTATTGGAGGTCCCAGGGAAGTTTCCAAAGAGTCCTACCTATGTCCACCTCTTGACTTTTGATGGACAGCAGGATGACATCAGACTTTCAAGTTCCTACTGCCATGACAATTCTAAGTCACTTTGGCCCACACTAACTGGTTCTAATTGGAACCTGTTCTTTCAGATTTTATGATAGGGGAAATTATCCTTATCTCCCAAAATTCTGGGATCTGGTCTGTGTAAGGATCACAAAATTCCACTCATTCAGAGTAACTTGTGTTCTTCTTATTGGTATTTCAGGGCTGCATTTCTCTTGCAGATAACAGGTAGTTTGCTGAGAAATGTAACATTCTATGGACTTAAGCCAGGCAGGGATGCAGGTAAATAATTAATCCTTAGAAAGCAAAGCTAATACAATAATGAAGAGCAGATATCAAGAAAATAGAAAAGGGGGAAAAAAAGTGAAAGCACATAGGGCTGGGTTGTGGCTCAGTGGTAGAGTGCTTGCCTAGCATGTGTGAGGCATTGGGTTTGATCCTCTGCACCACATAAATAAATAAATAAATAAATAAATAAATGTATTGTGTCCATCTAAAATTAAAAATATTTTTAAAAATGTGAAAGCATGTGGGGGTCAGCACAGTGGGCCCATTTTATAGAATTATTCCCTCTACTTCATGTTCCCACCACTCACATTGGTGTGTTTCTGATCAAACCCAACAAATGGGAGAGAAAAGGAAAGAGAGAGAGAGAGAGAGAGAGAGAGAGAGAGAGAAAGGTAAATAGAAAACAAAAAATAAATAAGACAACAAGACTAGATACAAACATTTCAGCTGTCATAATAAATGTGAAATATGATCTATCTGTTTATTTAAAAACAGAAAGTGGGAGATTGGGTCTAATAAAGAAAGAGGAACAAACAGGCTAAAAGG